TCTTCCTCCACCTCCTCCGCCTCCTACTCCTCCTCCTCCTCCTCCATCCTCCTCCTCCTCCTCCTCCTCCTCCTCCTCCTCCTCCTCCTCCTCCTCCTCTTTCCCTGGCCCCCATGCGGGCCCCAGGGATGTGCCCCAGGGATGGCCGGAAGAGGCCCTCCAAGGCAACCCCCTTGCTCCAGGGATCTCTCTTCTCACCCTGGTTGCCCGCTTTGCTTGACTAGACGTGTCTTTTCATGCCTTTGCCCGTCAGCTCTCATGAGGAGCAGGAGGAGCAGGAGAAGGAAGACGAGGAGGAGGAGGAGGAGGAGGAGGAGGAGGAGGAGGAGGAGGAGAAGGAGCCCGGGAAGGGGTCAGGACATCCTGGGCACCGCGCAGCGGGAAAAAAAAATCAGCACCTCGCACGCCCGGGCCGCGCTCTGGGCGCCGCGGCCGCCCGCCCGCCCGCGCGGGGCACTGCGGAACCCCGGCCAGCCCCGCGCGGGGCAGGGCTGGCTGGCCCGCCGTGGGCCCGCCGCGAGGGGGGCGAGCCTCTGAGGCCCATGCGGCGCCTCCTCCCCGCGCGGCCGGAGTGCCTGGCGCTGCCGCCGCCCCTCGCGGCCGCCTCGCCGCCCACCTCGCCCCCGCCGCGAGCTCCTCCTGCCCCCCCCCCCCTCGAGCTCCGCCTCGCCCTCCTCGCCCCCGCCGCCCCGCCCCCGTCGCGCCCGCCCGCCTCGCCCTCCTCGCCCCTCCTCCTCGCTCCGCCTCGCTCCTCCTCGCTCCTGCTCCCTCCCCCCCCGCTCGCTCGCCGCCGACTCGTGTCCCCTCCTAACACGCAGTAATCCTGGGGCTGAGGAGGCTGCTGATCATCCTCGCCCTCCTCGCTCCGCCGCCTCGCACTCCCTCGAGGGGGAGAACACGGGGGCCATGACCAAGGCTGTAATCTGGGGCCCCGGCCGGACCGGTGCAATCTCGGGGACTGCACGAGGCTGCGCGTGCAGGTCATGCGTTCGCACGCGCCCCGCACGCCAGGGGAGAGAGAGGAGGAGGCGGGAAGGAGGAGAACGAGGAGGAAGAAAGGGGAGTAGGGATACTGGGATTCTCGCGGCGACCGTCGCGGTGAACCACTGGCCCTCCAAGGCTGAGCGTGGGAAAGTCGTGTCCTGGAGGCCCAGAAATTGGCACCAACACCAACACAGGGGGGTGCCTCCACGTGGGGAAGATGGTCCTAGATTTCGGTGTTGGTGGCAGTACTTCGGTCACCTTGGAAGCCAGAGTTTTACCACCATCACCGAGATCGGGATCTTCTTCCCTCGGTGGAAGCACACCGCCGATATTGGTGTTGGTGTCAACCTCTAGGCCTGCGACACGTGTCGATCCTGGTCACCATCCATCTTCAAGCAAGCGAGCAAGGAGTCATAGTATGTACACCCGGAGGTGCGTAGGACACGAATGTGCAAAGATGTGGGACATGAGCATCAACAGCATACAAATCCTTCTGCACGAAAGCCGCCATTGTGCCGTGCGCACAACATGCCGCCTGGCTACCGTCCAGCTTGGTCAGCGTCAACTCGTGGATCACCCTCGCGAATCGGCGATGGCCGGGATGGACCATGGCTAAGATCGACGTCGACAAGGCCCCGCGACATCTCGGCCATGGTCCCCGCGCCTCCTCCCTCGAGGGGGGCGCACAAAAAGCTGCCTGGCCACTGCCCAGCTTGGTTGGCGTCACTTCGTGGATCACCCTCGCGAATCGGCGACGGCCGGCATGCACCATGGCCAAGATCGGCATCGACAAGGCTTGGCGGCGCGCAGAGGGGGGTAGGGGATGGGGTAAGGCTTCTTAGAAGGAGGCTGCTTATTAGAAGGCGCTAGCCCTCCATGTATAGAGAAGGCCCGCGCCTTCTAAGAAGCAGGGGTGCTTCTAAGAAGCCTTCCCCCCTTCCCCTACCCTCCTCTGCGCGTGGCCGATAGGCCCCGCGACATCTCGGCCATGTTCCCCGCGCAACCTGAGGAGGAGGAGGAGGAGGAGACGGAGGGAATGGAGGAGGAGGAGAAGGAGGAGAAGGAGCAGGAGGAGGGCGAGGAGGAGGAGAAGGGGGAGGAAAAGGAGGAGGAGGAGGAGGAAGACGAGGAGGAGGAGGAGGAGGAGGAAGAGGAAGAGGGGAAGGAGGAAGGAGGAGGAAGACGCAGGAGAGGAGAAAGAGGGAGGAGAAGATGAGAGAAGGGAGATGAGGAGAGAGGAGGACGAGGGAGGAGGAGGAGGAAAAGAGGAGAGGAGGAGGAGAGGAGGAGGAGAGGAGGGGAGGGGGAAGAGGAAAGGAAAAGGAGAGGAGGAGAGGAGGAGGAAAAGGAGGAGGAGGAGGGAGAGAGGAGGAGAAGAGAGGGGAGGAGGAGGAGGAGGAGGAGAGAGGCGGCGAAAGGAGGGAGGGAGGATGAGGAGGGGAGAGGAGAGGAGGAGGAGGAGGAGGAAGAGGAAAGAGGAGGAGGAGGAGGAGGGGAGGACGACCCCTATTAGGAAGAGGAGAGGGAAAAGGAGAAGGAGGGAAGGAGGAGGGAGAGAGGAGGAGAGGGGAAAGGAGGAGGAGGGAGGAGAGAGGAGGAGGGGAGGAGAGGGAGATGAGGGAGGGGAGGAGAAGGAGGGGAGAGGAGAGGAGGAGGAGGAGAGAGAAAGAGGAAGAGGAAGGGAAGAATTAGGGGAGGGAATCGGAGGAGAGGAGGGAGGGGGGAGAGAAGAAGAGAAGGAGAGGGGAAGGAGATAGGAGGAAAAAAGGAGGAGAAGGGAGGGGAGGAGGAGGAGGAGGGAGAGGAGGAGGAGAGGAGGAGGAGAAGAGGAGGAGGAGGAGGAGGAGGAGGAGGAGGAGGAGGAGGAGGAGGAGGAGGAGGAGGAGGAGGAGGGGAAGGAGGAGGAGGAGGAGGGCGGGGGCGCCGACCGCCTGCCGGGGGCCCCGGAACCCTTCGCTCAGGTCGGCCGCGTCCTCCTACAGGTGATCGTTTTTACTCGGCTTTTTGGTCTTGGGCGGCAAGGGGGCTCGACATTCAGCTCGGGGGGACGTAAGACCCGGGTACGGGGGACTCGGAAATCCCCGACGAGGTCGTCAAAAAAATGACGAGGCCGAGCCTGCATTTTGACGAGGCCTCCCGCTGCAGACATCCCACGAAACTCCTCCTCGTCAAAATCCTAGGCGCGGTCGTCAAAAAACGATGGCGAACCCGAGTCCTGGCAAACCCGGGTCTTACGCTCCCCCGATCAGCGCCAAGAGTCTGTGTTTACACCATGTTTTCTTCTTCGAATCCTGGGCTGCACCTTGTGAACGTTTTCTGATGCGGCGTTTCGACATTGGGCGGCAAGGGAGGGGGGGAAGGGGTGGGGTCTGGCCCTGGACCTCTGCTGAATGAGGCTGTTTGGAACCATGCGTCCTATGGGGGAGCGACTCCACCTGCTCGAAACACGCGCCCAAAACAGCCAAGATCCACTCCAGGGGGGGAAGGGGGAATCTGGCTCCGGACCTCTGCTTACTGCGACTGTTTGCAAGAATGCTGTCTCTGTGGGAGACCCCACCCGCTCAAAACTGGCGCCAAAAAACAGCCAAGATCCACTCCATCGGAGGTTGGGGGGCCCGCGCCGATCGGCAAAGCAACAAATAAAAAACCATCACCAGGCGGAATATGTTGAAGAAAAAAACCCAAAAATGCGAAAGGATCCAACTAGTCGAAGGCTCGTCCCCTGCCGATTTGGGGGCTACTTTTGAATAATGTTCCCCCTGTAGAGGGATATGCCCGACTTGACCCTTCGCGCTCTGGGCTGCTTCTGTTCGACGGGAGTGGGGGCTGGGAAGCGTCATCCAGGTGGGCGACGACAACAGAAAGCTGGCGATCACTCTGGCCCGCGCCGGCAAGATCAGGGAACGCGGACCAGGGAGTCATCTCTGACCCGCGTGCCGAACGGATTCATAAAAAAAAATGGCTTTCGCGGGGTCGCGCGGGCCGCTGCCAACGAACCGTTTCCCATTGCACGGGGAATGCTTCACCTGGAAGGCTGCGCCTCAAATCCGCCGCGCATCGTCTGCGGCGCGTTTCCACGGGCTCGCCCCCCGCCTCTGCCGCCCCTGGCAGCCCCCTCCTTCCCCCATCCCCGCCCAGAAGCCCTCCTCATCCTGCTTCGCAATCGGGTTCCTCGCTTCGCCTTCCGCCTGCCCGGCAAAATACGGCGGGGTCGAATCGACGTCGGCGGCGCGCTGAGGGAGCGCGGCCCTCTCACCACGAAGCCGGCTGCGCCTCCGGTGCACGAGGAGCTCCACGAGAGGGGTGCTGGGTCGCTCTCTCGAGGCCGACGCGGGCCCTTCCCCTGGAGTTCTGCGGCTGCGCCGGCACAGTGCTTTCTGCTGCGGGGCGGGGAGAGGTAAGCAACCACCGCCAGGGGAACCGATGCCGTGGGACCTCAGGAGGCGTTGGGTATGGATATCTCTGGGCCCCCCAGGGCCCAAGTTGCATCCATGTCGAGCGCCCCCTGGGGTGGGTCCTGGGGGATCGGTCCCCAAGAAAGGTGGCGGGTACGTGTAATGATCCCAGCTTCGGTCTTTTTCTCCCAGCAGCGCTGCGTCCTCAATGCGTCTCCGTGCGAGGCGTGGAGCTACGGAGGTAAAAGATTGTCGCAGCGCGCGCGTGGGTCCAGGGCCCCACACCCGAGCCCCCGTCGGCGGAGGCGTGGTAGAGACCTGCGAAGGTAAGAGAATGGGCCGATGCTTCTGGCTTCTGACCGAGTCTGCGCCCCAGGGGGAGGAGGTGAGAGCGGAATTGTTAAGATGCCTCACTTGGATAGGAAAGGGCATGAAAGTGCAGCGGCATTATACCATCAGGTCTGCGCCGCGGTGGCAGATTGAACACTCGTGATTTCCGTCGCCAAGCGAGCCAACAACAACAGGGCGCCGCATGAACTCCGCTTGTTAAAGAGCCTGAGCTGCTTAAAACGGTCCTGCAACTTCCTCGTCGCCGGAGCAGGATCTGAAACCACCTCTCCCCTAGCGTACTCCCGCACGCGACGGATGATCTCCATCACCGTCTTCACCAACGGGTTCCTCCGCTCCGAGAGGCGACCCCTGCACTGGCCGGTCGCGCTCATCGTCGAGCAAGTGGATAGCAGTGATGTCGCCAGTCTCCTCGTCGAGCTTCGTGATAAAACTCAGTGCGAAGACGTTCAAGACCAGATCGAGGTACGTCTCGAAGAGACACACGGAGTGCATGGTAAAAACGATGACTCCTCGGTAGACCTTCGGGTTGACCCAAAAGGGGGTCCAGCGATAAAGGGGGTGGCGCAGTAGATTGTTGCAAAACATTTGGGGCGTGCAATACATTTCGGGCCGCAGATGTATTGCTGCATTTTCGTGTGTTATACATTACTTGCAATACAATGCAATTCATTTCTCCTGCGCAGTGCAGTTGCAATACAATTGCCCCAAATCTATTGCACGACCCCATTTCAGCTGGACCCCCTTTTGGGTCACCCCGAGACCTGGTTCACTAGGAAATCCATCATCAAGCGGTTGTATATCTCGAGGCGGCTCGTCACCATAAGGGTGGGGCCGAGTTTATACTCACGAGAACGCACAAGCGCCATCCAACTCGCTTGATTTTCAAAGAATTCTTTCCCCAAGTCAGCCCGAATCAAGGCTTGCAATACAGGCAGAGCAATCAGAACGATCCGCCCCCACGCCGAAGCGGCCACGCGGTTGTACGCTGGGCCCCGTGTAATTCTCAACCGCGTAGTGCTCCCTGCGAAGCAGCAGTGGAGCGAGCAAGGAAACATGGTCTTACGCGAGGGGGCGTGGCGACCTTACGCGGTGGCGTACGCAGGCTGCCCACGCGGCACGCCACGCGGAGGAGATAACGCTTGCGCGTGGCTTTGCGCGGGCAGCTCACATGCCAATGTCCGCGCAGCCCACCCCGCTTTGCTACGCCACTCCGTTAAAAGCCTCGCGGGACGCACTCCAGAATATATCAACTTGCGGCAGCAAGTCCCGAAATAGTTTTACTCCAGCTGCTCAAAGTGTTCGTGTTTAAACGAGCCTGGCGGCTCTCCTTCAGAGCGCCTCAGCCCTGGGAGGCCGCCCAGCACTTGCAAGGACCCCAGCGCGGCCACAACCCCCCCGATGGCAGCGAGACCGTCAAACGGCCCACCAAGGGGCTTCGAACAGCCCCCGAGGAAAAACCACGACGGCCGTACAGGGAAGCTTCGAACAGCCCCCGCCAACGCCGTCCGACGATATAGCGTCGCTACGAGGCGTCCCCAAGCCCGATCACGGGTATGCGCGGCCCTGCGCGGCAGCGAAAACGGATACATGTGAATTGCATCCTTGCTGCTGAGCATTTTAGGTACGGCAGTCTCGTTTCACACATATTTGATAAGAAAGCACAGTACATCCACATCAAGAACGACTGCCCTGTGAACTTGACAAGCACCTGGCTCAGGGGGCGGTTCAGATTCATATAGATATTTCCCGGCATGATGTCCTTGACAGAGGGTCCGTTGGTGGTGGGGCCAGTCTTGGGGACGTCCTGAGCTGTCGTGGGGCCGTCTTGCTGGACTGGGGGAGCTGCCTGGGACCGTCTCGAAGGGTTTCCGTGCTGTCTCTGGGTGGCGATGAGTTTAGCCTCTTGTGGACCGAGCATGTGGGCCACGGCTCGAAAGATAACGGCGCCCGTTGCCACCGTCAAGATCCTGAGCATGCTTTCGTAATCCATCGAATACTTAAATTCCTCTTTCATCGACATCCGCTTGAAAGTTATAGCATGGTCAGCTTTGAGGGTGGCACTGAGACGGCTGGCGAAGAATCCCGGCGTCATGATCGCTAGAACTGCCCAATTAGCAACGAAGAACCCAACATAGGAAAAAACGAACTTCCCCAAATCCTTGTGCACTTTGGATCCAGAGCCGGAGAAACAGCACATGAATGGGAGTGACAAAATGACAACAAAAGGAGGGATCATGATCGGAAAGTTCCAATACAAACGACTTAACCAGTTGCCAACTGTCGCACTCCCCCCATTTTGTTTGTCTTGATCGGCCATCGCATGCTCCTCATCGCACTTCGTTGAATTATCGTCCTCGGCCCTGCCGAAGCCCAGAAAGTAGGACACATCGTTCTGCCAAAATGGGCTCGTAATATTCCATGTGCTGTTTTGATTCTTGCCAATTGACTTGTGACGGCTGCCCTTGGGCTCCTCTTCCCTTTTGCCAGTGTGATGATTCAATTTGCTTTTCGTCGTGTCACCATGACGGTCGCGGACCATCACAGAATTTTGCACAATTTCCAACTCCATCTGAGCATGCAACGAATCGTCGCGGGCACCTGATGAGCCAGTCGGCCAACATATTGCCAAAACGAGAATGCGCGCAACGTGCATCCTTACAGTGACTCGGGGTGTCCAGATTTCTTATGATATGTAAGGGGCGTCGCCGATGCCTGAAATGTTGCCTAAATGACTATGAAAGCTTTGGGCGATGGCGACGGCCGTGATCATGACGACGACGAGGATGGTGACGATTGGGCGTTGCATCGAATGGGCATACACGGTTAAATGACTGAAAACCTACTGGACCACTCTAGGGCACTAGGCCATGACCTGGTTGCTGGTCCGTGAAAACGGTGTTGACAAAGGCCAGGCCGGGCGCGCGCCAGGTCTGGGCCGGGTCCCGTCCGGGCCCGGGCCGGGCCAAGGCTTAGGTCGGGCATGTCCTCCTATATACAGGCGGATGTTGAATGAAATATCGGAAATATTCGGCAAGTCCTCCAAAATCGGAAATTGGGGGGTGAGATCGAAGTGGAATCGAAGTGGAACGGAGAGCCCCCGCCAGGAAATCGGTTTCGGTTTCGTGTTCGCGCGTGCCGCGCATGGGGGCGAGGCGAAACTGCGTGGTCTCCTGTGGCTGAGGCGCGGCCAGACCAAATGATTTTCCCTCCGGCACGCGGTGGCGCGCGGTGTCCCGCCGGTGTCCCGGGTGTCCCGCTTGTGGCTGGGCCCCGGCTGGACAAAATGGTTTTCCCTCCGGCAAGCGGTGGCGCGCGGTGCCCCGCCAGTGTCCCGCCGGTGTCCTGGTGTCCCGCTGGTGCGAAAACGGTAGTGAGACCGATGCCGAAATCGATTCTGAGATCGATAATGGGATCGATAGTGAGACCGATAGTGAGATCGATCGTGATATCGATCGTGAAATCGATAGCGATATGACTAGTAATATCGGTCGTGAGATCGACTGATATCGACAGGGAGGTCGTTAGAGGGATCGATTGCGAGATCCAGGATGATATCGACAGTGAAATCGACCGAGGGAAATCGATAGTGAGATCGATCGAATGAGATCGATCGCGGGATCGATGGCCCCATCGATCGTGAGACCGATAACGACATCGCTTGTGAGATCGGTAGAGGGATCGATAATGAGATCGATGGTGAGATTTATCGTGAGACCGATAACGTCATCGCTTGCGAGATCAATAGTGAGATCGATTGAGTGGGATCGATAGAGAGATCGATAGTGAGATCGATCGAGCGAGATCGATAGTGTGATTGATCGATTGAGATCGATTGTGAAAGCGATAGTGGGGTCCATTGTGAGATCGATTGAGTGAGACGTTGGGTCCCCCCCCGTCAACTAACTCTCTTACCATCCAAGGATTTCGGCTCAAGACTTTTGTTGCGCTCGGCACGCGGGGGGGCCGCGAACGCACCCACTTCGGTCACGCACTCCCTTCGGCCTCGCTGCGAGGGGCAGGGCTTTGCCAGCCGAAATGCTCGACAAGAATGTGGAGACGCTGCAAAACATGAACACCCAGACGGCCAAGTACGCCAAGTGGTACGCGAGGCTTTCAAGACCCACCACGAGGTCCAAAAAACGCGCCCAAACGGCCCCCCAAGCCCTTGCAAAATGAACTACATCGGAGGTGAAGGGGTGAGATCGAAATCGAACGGAAAAACCCCGTTCCGGGAAATCGGTTTCAGGTTCCGTGTTCGTGCGTGCCGTGCGTGCGAGGCAAAAATGCGTGGGCGAGCGAGAAATAGCTCTCCTGTAGCTGAGGCGCGGCCGGACCAAAAGTCCCCGTTCAGGCAACCGGTGCCCCGCTGTGTCCCGCGGGTGTCCCACTCGGGGGCCGGTGGCGCGCGGTGTCCCGCCGGTGTCCTGCCGGTGTCCCGTCGGTATCCCGATGGTGATGATGATGATGATGATGATGATGATGTTGATGATGCTGATGATGTTGACGATGATGATGCTGGTGCTGGTGGTGATGATGATGGTGTCCCCATGATGATGATGACGATGATGGTGACGTTGACGATGTTGGTGATGATGATGATGGTGATGGTGGTGATGATGATGGTGTCACGATGATGATGATGTTGATGATGATGATGTTGATGATGATGGTGATGTCGCTGATGATGACGGTGCCCCGATGATGATAATGTTGATGATGATCCTGATGATGATGAAGATGACAACATGATTTGATGATGATGATGATGACCGATGATGATGATGCTGATGAAGAGGTTGATACTGATGATGTTGATGGTGATGGTGATGATGATGGTGTCCGGGTGATGGCGATGATGAAAATGATGATGATGATGACGATAAGGGTGTCCTGATGAAAATGATGTTGGATAGGAGGCCGATGATAAGGTGATGATTATGATGTTGATGCTTGCGGCCCAATGATGGCGATGATGATGTTGATGTTGATGATGACGATGGTGCCCCAGTGCTGTTGATGATGATGGTGATGATGGTGATGGTGGCAATGATGATGGTGTTCCGATGATGATGATGTTGTTGTTGATGATGATGATGGTGTCCCGATGATGATGATGATGTTGATGATGATGTCGATCACAATCATGATGATGATATGATGATGATGGTGTTACGATGATGATGATGGTGTCCTAGTGATGATGATGATGATGTTGATGCTGATGGTGACGGCTACGGTGCCCCGATGATGATGATGGTGATGATGATGGTGATGAGGTTGTGATGATAATGATGGTGCCCCGATGATGCGGGTGATGATGAGGTTGATGACGTTGATGACGATGATGCTGATGATGATGGCGTTGAATGTGATATCGATTGTGATATCGATAGTGAGACCGATAGTGAGACCGATTGTGAGATCGATTGTGCGATCGATAGTGAGATCGATAGTGAGATCGATTGCGAGATCGATAGTCAGATCGATTGTGAGATCGATCGAGTGACATAGATCGAGTGAGATCGATTGCGATATCAATCGAGTGAGATCGATCGAGCGAGAACGATAATGATATCGATGGTGAGACCGATAGCGAGACCGATCGAATGAGACGTTGGTTCCCCCCCGAACCTCCTTATCACCCGAAGGGTGGTCGAAAAGGTAAATTATTATTTCGTTGGTTCCTGGGGGGGGGAATGATACCAAGGAGCCCAAGAGCGAATGATGACATGAGCAGCTCGACACCAAGGCCCCCAAGAGCGAGCGGCCACGCAACAATCACCACTGTTGCCCATTGCTGGCCCCTTTCCCTCCCCAACTCCTTATCACCCGCAGGGCGGTCGCGAAGGTAATCAAAAATAGTCAATAGAAAATCGTCCTTGGACTATGTTTTGAGAATTTTTGCATACTCTTCTGGTATATAGGAAGGACAGGCCCGATTTAAGTCCAGGCCGGGCCCGGGTCCAGGCCGGGTCCATGCCGGGGCCGGGCCGGGTCCGGGCCCGGCCTGGGCCCCCTGGCCCGGTCCGGGCCAGGTCGGACCCGGGTCCCGGGTCCCGGCAGGGTCTGGGCCAGGTCCGAACAGGGTCCCTGCCAGGTCGATCTGGGCCGGGTCCAGCCGGGCCCGGGTCCTGTGTGTATAAGGAGACGGCCACGGCCGAGGGGCCGTTCCTATACGGGGTCCGTAGGTAGAGGCGAGGAGTAGGACTCGTTTTCCAGGGCCCTGCACAGCAGCAGTGCACTGTTGTCGTTTAGCCAATACCAGAGCCAATACAGTTGCGGAAAAAGGGATAGAATGGGGACGTGAGCGGACTTCACACACAGGTCCCGCGTCTGGGGTCCGGCCCAGGTTGCCGGGTCGTGATAGGCTGGGTTCAGGCTGGGTTTGGTTCAAGCTGGGACCGGGCGAGGTCGGGGCCAGCTCTCGGCGGGGCCGAGTCCGGTCCAGGGGTCCAAGTGGGTCCAAGCTGCCCTCCACGTCGCCTCAGGTGGCATCGAGGGAGGTCCCAATAGGCGCCTCCAAGACGACCAAAAGTAACGGATGGTTCCAATATGCCTCCAAGACGGCCCAAAGATGGCTCAAGATGGGCTCAATATCGTTTCCACGACAGCTCTAGATGGGCTCAAGATCGGTTCCGTTTGGGGGGGCAGGGCTGAGGTTTGGGGGGTGAGATGAACATTCGGGGAACGGAGTGGATGAGAAATGGGGGAGTGGGGGAACTGTAACAGAGTCGGGAACGAGGGCGAACGTGGAGGCGAGCGGAGAGAAAAAGTGGGGGCAGAAAGGAGGGATAGGGGGAAGGGGGGGCAAGGGGGATGGAGGGAGGCGACGGAAGGGTGAAGTGGAGGAAAAGGACGACGACGACGACGACGACGACGAGAACGAGGACGAGGAGGAGGAGGAGGAAGCGGAGACGGAAGGAGGACGCAAGGAAGGAAGGAGGGAGAGACGGGAGTAAACAGAAGGAGGGGGAGGAGAGGAGGGAGGAAGACGGGTGCCAGCGCGCGGGCATGCAAAGATCGCGCCCCCCCGCGCCTGCCCTGTCCCCCCTTTCCACCCCCACACTTTTCGAGGCCAGCGCTCACTTCCCTTCCCCCTTGCCTCCCCCGCCCTGCGCCCTCTCCTCCCCCGCGCCTCCCCCGCCACTGCGCGCCCCCCTCCCCCCTCCCCCGAACACGTCGCGTGCACGGGGCCGCTGGGATGGCATCGTTCGCGGGACCGACACAGGGCGGTAGCAGTCGTGGACACTTTGCTCGCGCACGTTCGCTCGTCCAGACATCCCATCAACAAGGTCAGGGATGGGGTCGTCCCTCACCGTGGGTCGGCTCACCGCGAACGGTCCGATAAGGCATGGAATCGCATGTAATCCCATCCACACGATGAGAATGATGCTGGTAGTGATATACATGATGGTACTGTTTGGCGGCGACAGTTGGAAAAAGGTAGTCCTGCTCAGGCATCGAATATCGAACGGCGACGTGCCCATGTAACCTCTGGCAAACAAGATGATAGGCGAGGGCACCTTGAGCGAGCCAAAGCTCCTTACACCACCTAATAATTGGCGCCACGCTCACCCTCCAGGGAGGGCCCCCTTTCCAGAAGAGAAAGAATGGCGAGGGAACGGCGCTGAGACTTGGGAGAAATCGCGGCCA